TAAGCACTGTATGCTCAGTGCTTGTCCGAGAGCTTACAAAAAAATAAACAAGCTCTCGGACAAGCACTGAGCATACAGTGCTTATTAATATATGTTGGGTAAGGGCAAAACCTGTTATATATAATCTTTTTATGATGTCTTACTTTGTTTTTTTCTTATAGTTCCATCGGTGCAGTGAATGTTAAATGGGCTGCATACATGTACGTCACAAATCAAAATGAAAGGCATTTATACGACAAGTGAAGTAAATTCATGAAATTTGGTTTCATCGATCTTCACTGTGGCCAATATATATACGTACATGTTTCATTAAAGTAAATTTTTTTTAATTAAATGGGACTTAAATTTCAACTTGAATGTTATGTTGAAAGCCAAATGCGAGAAGTTCAAGCACAAGTGCATGTCACATGTGGAAGTTAGATGTGCCGTAATGCTTCCAGTGATGAAAAGCTTCTATTTTTGTATATTCAAAGGAATTCAGGAAAAGAGCATATGGACATGCATCATTTCTCAATTTTCCCTATCACTTAAAAGTACTGCCCAAAAGTAAGTCTTACATATGCATGTACATGTAGTTACTTTGTAGTTTGCCCACCCATGTTTGGCACAAGTTGAAAGATGAAATAGATAGAAAACCCTTTTTTTTGCACAGAATACATGAATGAACTTTTCTCTTGACAGCACAAAAAAGTTGCAGTAACACAGATGTTTGGCACATTCAAACAAGGTGCCAAAATACGAAGAAACTATCCATAATTTGGTCAAATAGGTTTGTAACTCCATTTAACACACCACCCAATGAAAAATCCTGTTTTCCTTATTTGAATACATATACTACATTTGTGGTTGTGATGCTAAAGTTCAGTTAGATTTCCATATTTTAACATTGTCCATGGATTTGCCCGTGTTTGTATTATGTTACAGTTTGTCAATCATTTCCATTGATTCGTGTGGAATCGTGGACACTAACAACAAAAAAGAAGAGCTTGTTGCACAAATGTTGTAAGTTGCAGAATTTAAGAACCATGAAATTAAGGAGCAAAACTTTGCCATTTCACTCTTGAGAATGAAAGCTAAGTAGTTACAGACAAAACTTAGCTGTTGTCTGAAACAATAAGTTTGGAGACTGGAGATGCATATGTACACTGGAAATTTGGACTTAAGACTTGAGAAAGGAATGAATTTGGTAGCAGATAAGCTCCTGGCTTCTTCAGGGAGTGGTCATCCCTGCCAACTGTATGCCCCAGGTCCAACTGACCCGGTTGGTAGTACCTGGTAAGGGTCCCTAACTCAGGGTTACGAGTGAAGTGCCTCACAGCTAGCTGGTGAATGGATGCCCACAGATGAGGAATGACGTACATTGTATATGTACATCTGTACTGATCGGTAGAGTGGAAGACTCTACTTGTTGAAAGCTGCACAAAGGCTTGATGATGCTTGTCTCCGTTGAAGCTTATCATCAACTCCATTGGATCTGGTGAACAGCCAGACAAGACCTTCTAAGACGAAGGTGAACTTGCATGTATAGCCTTGAGCATCCTCATTTTGCAGCAGTAATTGGCATCAACACAGCAGATGAGCTTGGATGCAGCAGCTGTCTTAATCTTGTTTGCACTGTCATCTGAAACAATGCAGTGGAACTCAACACAAACAAATCTGTGGACCAGACAGAAGCGACACTTGAAGTAATGATGATTGGTCTATCTGATCTCATTTTTACTGCACAGAACTTCAACGAAACTTCAACGAGTGGAACTTGATACACTGATTGATACATGTGTGCCCGTTGAAAACATCCTGCAGTAAACATCTTTAGTTCAGAGCTTGTCTGCTTGCAACCCATAACATGAAGTTTTAAAATGTACATATATATGCATCTACCAGTACTTCTAAAAAGAGAAACTCAAGAATTTTATAACATGCGAAAGTAGAAGATAAAATGCAGAATTTGTCTATAAGGCTACCGTGTTTAACAGTAAGATATTTATTTTCTTAACTTTTGATGGAATTTCCTTGTTAAGGATATGCTCTTGTAAAAGTTACATTTTCCCCTGCTTTCTTATCGTTATATGTATGGTTTTCAAACTTTCAATGTGATTGGACTAAATCTGCCACTGAGAACAGCACATATATTTTAAGGTTGAACTTGTTAATGGTTATTGTTTTGTTCTTTTTCATAATACTTTGTGTGGGAAAATTTTAGATGCCTGATCCTTGGAAAAGCCCAACATCAGGGTGACACTGGGGGTATCCATCTCCAGCAGTCGGTGAAGGCATGATTTCATACATTTACCTATCCATTTGGTGTAGACATTGTGCGTCAGATACCGGTATATGGAAAGTGTAATTTATATCGTGTACGTACCACTTGTGCTTGTATCGATTAAGTTCAATTTTTTGGTTTGGTCAAAAGCCTTAAAGGGTCCATGTAATGCAATCATTTTCATTACAACCTGTGAAAACACTTTTGTGTTTCAGTTTAACTTGGGGTGTCTTTGGTTTTTATGGCAATTTCCATTATGGGAAAAAGTTGTGGCATGCTAGGGAGGAAAACAGCTTGTCGCACTTACTGTATTTGTGCAGCCGCCCCCCAACTTTTTTTTTCTACTTTTCAAAATTTCTTTCTCTTTGGTTGGGTGTTGCGCAAGTTCATTTCTATTAACCAGTGAGCCACCCTTTCTCAGGAATGCTTCAGTGAGCAAACCTTGGGTTTGCAGATTGAACAGAAAACATAAACTCAGGACCCTCTCTAAATGAGGTAAAAGCAACAGTTTCCTCAATTTTGAGGAAAAGCATAGACAACTTTAAATGGTTGAAAGAGTGCCTTTATTTTGTCATCTTGTACCTCAAGGGAAAGCCATTGAAGGATATAAAGTTGCACAAAAAGTGCATTTCTTGGACCCTTTAAAGTCATAATAATAATTTGCTGTTAAGACAGTAAAGGCAGTGATTTGGAATTTGTTAGAGGTTGAAGTGCATTTTAGTGTTGGGTTTTGCTTTGATCTACAAGGATGGATCCAGGGGGCGAACAATGGCTGCCTCCCCCTCCCCCTCCCCCATGTAATAACGAAAGTCAAAATTTTGGGTTTGTTTCATATTCCTTCCTTAGAAAAGAAGTAAATGCCCCAAAAGGTATAGCCTTGCAGAAAGGCCGAAGAAATTTACTTGAAACAATTTTCAAATTTGGGACCCTAAAACATGTTTTGCCCCTCGATCTGGATCCATCTTTGTGGGCCAGTACATGTATATTTAACATTAACAGAACTAGCTGAAGCAGAGGTGCTCAAGCACTCCTATGCAATTTGTTACCTATGGTTTTTGGTAAAGTACATGTACATGTAGGAAGTTGTGCAATAATTTGGACATCCAGCTCATATTTGAAGCATTGACAAGAAATTGCCAGATCTGATGAATGGGTGTATACATATTTCCAAGCATCCTTATGAAATTCTGGAGGTCAAACCCCGACCACACTATCTTATACATATGAGGAAAAAAATGGCACTTAATTAGGTGGTAATAAAAGCTACAAATTTGCTCATTGTGGAATTTTAAAGTTGAAAGTCTTCAACACTCAATCCATCAATATTCAATTTGCATTCCGGTGAATAGTGTCCCCATAGTTACATGTAAGGTCGATCGCGTACGAACAGTTAAAAGTATATTTATGGTACAGGGGTGTAGTGCTTTTCAAAGTGATTACATGTGTAGGTCATTCTTTTGGCCTCTTGACACCTTTTGCTCCAGAACGACGGTCCCAAATTGTCTCCATGTCCTGATCTCAGGAATATGTATATTATTAACATGATAATTTAGCAGACACCCTACACTGTACATGTATACTCTTTGATGATTGATCTTTGACTACTTTGGCATGGATTTCTTGGTTGTTATTCAGCTAACTTTACCAACCCTGCAATGTTTCCTTAATGGGCAGCTTATTATTGCCACTAGACCTGTTGATTAACAACATATAAGCATATACATGTGCCTCAAATCATAACATGGCAGAGCAGATTCTGAGCCTGCTGCCAATTCTGTGCTGTAAGGATTCATTCTCTCAATTCACACAATCACATAGTCAACGATTACAGTCTATGTCGCACATCTGATGACAAGTTTAGCAGACTTCAATCATGCTTGCACATGCTCCCATTCAGTGTCATATACTCCCATTTTCTTGCTCACTCCAGTATCATTGCTGCTGTAGCCTACAATGTACCTGCGTCAGAATGCCTCCTCACTGATCAAGTCGTCATGCATGTTTCTTTGTACATAAATGGCCCATCACAAGGTGTGTCACACACAAAAAAAATTGTGTCAGTGTCAATTCAATAAGTTGTTTCTCCATATTTTGTGAAATTCAGGTTTTTTTTTTATTTTGATTCAGATTTACCCAAAGAATTATTACACTGTTAATTTCATTGAAAATACTGCCCATGACGTAATTAGTGACCAGTTATTTAAACGTTGTTTCTTAGTAAAGTTGCATTCGTGCTAAAGTTCCATTTTCCTGTGATTTAATTCAACACAAAACTTTACCGTGAGACTGCAAACTCAACAATATATTTTTTGTTTTTACCCTATTTTTGGACCTCCATGTACATGTACATGTATTGAATTTCCCTTGAAAACTTTGTTCCTTAACCAGTCTTTTTGAAGTGGGCATAGTTTACGTCATTAATGCATACTGTCTCGTACTGCCAGTTCACTGCCCAGTCTGGGCAGTTCACTTCAATGTGGTAAGGAAGGGGGAATTTGCTGTGCCTTACCTTTGACACGCGGAAGTGTGTTTGTGGCCCATGCGTCGAGCTCCAGCCTTGCTACATGTACATGTATGTATGTACTATTACCCACTTAAAATAGTGGCATCTTGCAACTTGAGTATTTAAATGGATGCAAGACATCAGAGAAATCTCTCTGTGATAAAAATTTGTGCCGTGGTGATATCAGATAATTAATGTGCAACCTGAGGGATACACACACCCCTCTTTTCAGGGACTAAAATGTGACATATTGCCTCACTCATTTAAACAAATAAAAAGTCTGTTGGATACAGAAATATCAGTTTTCAAACCCAGGGTGTCTAAAGGTACTTATACTGCAAGCAAGCTTGGCGTCTCAAACAAGACTTTGGAATGTCGGTCAATAATTAGGTACTCATACGTGTACAATCCTATACCGGGGTACTTCAAGGAAATGTTCCTTACAGAGTATGCTGGTACATGTATTTGGATGTGGTTTCTGGTAAGTGCAATTGATAGAAGTTTATGCTGGAGTATATGCACTATTGTCACGTCATTGGCTCCAGTGTTGGTTTGGTAACAGTAACATCATAGAAATTGATCACACAATCATAAAGAGTATTATCATGCATTTAAAAGACTAGCATACTGTACGTGTAAATGTACTAGTATTTGAACTAGTTGAATGTGCTGCTTATCCACCCCGAGTTGAAGTGCACCCCCAAGCGGCAAAGGAAAGACAGGTGGTAGTACGTTTTCCAAGCGGGTTCTTGCGTGTATGCAAAGACCATACATTAAGGAATAAATTTGTTATGCGTACTCAGCATGCTCTGCGTCAAACGTGCCATTAATCCCATTATAAACGTGCGCCTGTAGGCCTTTCTAGTGAGTACTATTTAAAACAAAAAAACGGCCCCTTTGGTCCCTCTTGGAGCGGATAAGCTAACCTTTGTTGATATTAATTTAGTCTTGAGTATGCTTCACCTGCATGGTTTTGCAGTTAAACAAAGACTCAGCTGGAAATTCTCTAGAAAATGCAGTAGAATTAAGCATTTTGAATCATTTTATCCAAGGAATATTTTAGGAACTGCTCATACAATGATGTTTGTCAGGATCTTAATATTCCCTCAGTCACTGGAAGGCTTGAAATGCTCAGTGCCATATTTGGTAGTACCCAAAGTAACTAAAAAACTCACAAAGACTAGCTTCCAGTTGCAAGGAATGACAACTTGAGGAATTCAGATTGTCTCTCCACTGTCAGATGTAGAGCTAGCCGCTTTAAAAACGGTCCCATACCATGCATAACCTCACGTTTAAACAATCATTAGTTCTCCTTCCCTTAAGTTTATTACTTTTGTTGACCTTTTCTGGTTTTTGCTGTGACTATTGTCCCTTGGTATTTTACTTTCTCATGTCTAACACATTATTGTGAACATGTACATCTCTTTGAAAAATTACTGTGTTTTTTAGTGCTGTACATGATGAATAGTTATGAATTTTCGTGTGCACTTCAAAGGCTGTGGTGTTGGAATCGGTTCATTTTGGTGCCGTCGATGACTGCGTATTAGGATGTTGCCTTGAGGCCCCTGGTATAACTTTGCACTTCTACAATTGTTATAATACCAAGTAACACCTTAATTATCAACACCAGTGTTTAGTGCTGGTGTGGTCCTCTGATAGCGCGGAAGGTGTCGGGTTTGACTTCCCACGTATGATTTAATTGTTCTTTAATCATATTCTCTCATTAATCTACCTCCTGAGCAGTGTTCCTTCAAGCTTTAGCTTGTTTGATATACTATATTGCACTATTTGCCTGAATTGTAAATTAGCAATAATTCAGTGCCATATTTTATGGCTGCAAATGTTAATTTCTTAATAAACCAATAATATCATTAATAAACTAAAAAGTACCATGGCATGGACAGATGTCTATGGGTCACTGCCACTGTGTACATGTATATTATTTAGGACTCAACCTTAAGTTCGGGTAGCAGTTGTACCATATTTAGGGATGAAAATTGCCAATGTTCATGGCACTGTTAAACAAAGAAGTAATTGTTATCAGTGCTGGATCACCCGTTAATTGTGGCCTCATCTGAGTTGAAAAAATTTCATAAACTGGGCAAGAATCAAATTGTCATCTGCTCTGAATTGTCTACACTTACGTGCCACAAGGAATATCAACCTGCCCAGCGTGCTGACTGCAAATTGCTGTGGTCATGTTTACACAAAAATGTTGTAAGTCTACATTTTTATCCTGACGTGCAGACATCAAGTTGGCTTATTGTTGCATTTTCAGCGAGCCCAGTAATTGGAATGATAAACTATCAGTTGCACGAAATCAGTTTTTTTTTTGTGACTCACCAAAAATGTTGAGACCAGAAAATGAACTTGGTGGTACAAAAAGAGTTTTTGACACTAACAACCAATCAAAGCATGAGAAATCCAAAGAGCTACATGTACTCTACGTGTAAATTCCAGTGTTTGATTCCGACTTTTTAGGGTTGCATTAAAAACTTTTTTTGACATTGATTAAGTTGCTTTTTTGATTTAATTAAGCACAGAATGTTTTTGCAGGGTTATATGCACAGAACATAATTTCAAGGTAAAGCATGTTTCGTTCCTTTCAAAGTTCATTTTAACACTGGCCACTTATAAATGAATTACATGTGTCATGGAGGTGGCATTCTTCTGTAATTTAATTTAATGTGCTAGAATTTACTGAGCTACCGCAAACAGGTTTTTTTTTACAATTTTCTCAGTTAACTACTCAAGCGGAGCTGTCGACACTTTCTTTACCTTGAATTTCAGCATAGGTATATGACAAGTGTACATCAATTTTTCAAGTTATGCAGTTTTAGAATTCTTAACTGATTTTTTATTACAGTGCAATTCTGAATATCTTTCTGTTTTAAAGTCATGTTTTGAAGTATTCAACTTTTTAAATATATTGCAATTACTTTCAGACAAAGATGTTTTCAAGCATTTTTTAACAAATGCTTTTACTGTGTATAAAGTTTAGATTACAGTTTTACACTGAAAAAGCCCCTAAAGAAATGTTTGTCCTTGCCTTTTTTATTTAATTTTGCCACGTTGGAACTCTTATTGTTGGAAACAGCTCATCATTTTTCGCCTGTGTTTCTTTACTGTATACCTTGGACACTTTTCAAATTCAAAAACATTTACATGATCAGTGATGTCATGGCATCATATTGAGCTACATTAGGTGCATGAGTTTTTAGTAGACTAACGCATGTTTTAATCTTTTTTCTTGGACAACCATGATCAACTACCACTGGTGCATGGGTGAAAGTACTATTACTTCTGTAATACTGAAAATTAAAGCAGATCATAATTGAGTAGTTGAATGTGCAGGTGTGTGGGGGGGGGAGAGGGGAGGGGAATGCGCCTATATAAGGAAGGGGAGGACATACATTGCATCAGAGCACTGTACATAATGAACCCAAATAAAAGGGAAGGAGTAGTTATGTAATTCCCTCTGGGTGGGGGGGACGCTCTATTATACATTGCACAAGAGGGCATGATGACTACAAACCAGAGATAGAGGTATAGGGCTGGACATCACATTCCACAAGAGGGCGCTAAAGCAATGGCTATTGATTTCAGGACCATGGGTGGGGTGGGATTATAATTGGACCAATGCGACGGGGGGGGGCTGATGGGGCTGGACATTAAATTCAACTAGAAGGCATGTGCTGTAAATGGCGAAGTGTGTGTGGTGGGTGGTGATTATGCAGCCGTGGGGGAGGGATCGAGTGATACACATACACTATAGGGGGCGCTTTTCTCAAAGGGGGGTTGAGTGCCTTTCTTGTAGGGAAGGGAGACATGATATCGATGAAGTGTACGTGTTGCATGAGGGTGCTATATATGAGGGCTCATATACCAGGTAAGGGGGAACTGCGCATAGACGTCACACTAGAGGGCGCTGTTCATGATGAACCCTGTATGGAGGGAGGGGAGCAGTGTATGCGGACATCACAAACATGAATGTCCACTATATATTGGGAGCTGTATGTGAAGAACCTGAATGGGAGTGGCCCAAGTGTTCACATTTGGCCCAATTAATATTGGGTCCACTAGTGTGTAAAAAGTGGCCATTTCATAAACAGGTGTTTGCTGTTTAGGATAATTTTTAAAGGCCAAGCGCAGAATCCAATGGTGACAGACATACATGTATATCAGCAAAAAAAATCTAACTTCTGTTTGGGATCATGTAAATAACTGTCAAAAGTATATTTTTCTTTGTGACCATTTCATTGTGATAAAAAAAGGAAACAGACATAGACGCTATATTATTCCCTACAGCCATCAGAAAGAATGCATTGTCCAGAAAAATTCAATTTAGGAGGGAAAATACCAAGATGTTTACTCAGTTGTAGGAGGGAAAATGCCAAGATGTTTACTCAGATTTATAATTGTTTAGACCATCAGTCTCAAAGGGTACAGGGTCACCGCATATGGAGTCTCTTTCCAAAAATACAAAAATAATTTGTGTGTGTTTTCTGCCTTGAGACCTGTTCCTGGTACAATTTCTTTCTGGTATATCTGTTGTGAGTGGCATAAACAAAGATGGTCCTTTGTTGGGAACTCACATACTGCATTCGGTCACAGGATGTGGAGATTGAGCGTGCACAACTAATTTCTGTTTGATCTTAGCTCTGTGGGGCATGTGTATCAGGTGGAATAATTATTTCCCACCACCCCTTTAGCCACTTGTAGTGATGTTGTAGTGTCAAGTTTGTGCCATTTTAGTGTAGGTGTAACAGGGAAAAATGACACACTATGAGGAATTAGCAAAACAACAAAAACTCTAACTAAACCAAGGATCTTTGAAGGAAAAGTCGCAGGAAACTGAATTAATAAGGACTCAGACACCAATATTTGACTTCAAAAAAAGGGACCCAAAAAAATAATTTATTAATGAAAAAGTACAGGAAAAATGAAAAAAAACAAAAAGGACTCAAGGACTAAAAACCACCCAAAGACTAAGACTTTAAAAGACTCAAAACCAAAACCCAACACAGTGCATAAAAATGGACCTTATGAGTTTACACTCGGACTTCAATCTGTAGGAAAACAAGAGAAGTAGAAAACATACATACATGTATAAGAAACAACAAAATTTCTAGTGCATTAACTACAAAGAACAGGAAGGAGAGCAGGGATTAACACATCATAAAACTGAAAATGTGCACAGGTCTATGGGGCTCATTAAGTATTCAAATCCCCTGGCAAGTCCAAATAAACCACCTGCATGTAGCTTTTGTTGGATTTGGTGAACATTATGTACATGTAATGGTACGGTACATGTCCATTCAAACCCATTATCCACTCGGAAACAATTTTTCTGTTACATACATGTGCAGGTATTGTTTTCGCACTCATGCATACATGTACTATGTTATGCCAACTGTACAAAATTAAGCAACATGTTTATTCTTGTTTTAATGCAGTGTATTATATTCAAAAGACACTAGGGCCTACATACAATGTATTAACTGTAAATGCTTTTATCACTTAAGGTCTCCAACATGAAAGTGTATCCAATGAAAAACTATCGTGCGTTCACATGTACATGTACATGTAGAAGAAAATTAAGTCATTTGAACTACACGTCAGTCAAATGATACTGTTTCATATGTTGCAGTCATTGATGTATTGGATATGGACACATCATTAAGTTTGGAATAGGGCACTTGACTGTTGTATCATCGACAGCTATAAATTTGGCTACTAGTAATACCACTAGAC